TCATCTGTGGGCTGACATGGGAGAGATCCATGGATAGGATACACCTAGGACACTAGACCCAAATTTGCAAAGGGAATATTCCATACCATATTATGTCATCTCATATATAAAGGCTACAAAAAAGAGAACAGTCTAGATTTAGAAATATAAGTATTTTTTAATAACTTTGTAGTTTTCTAACAGTATAAACTCTTGAACTTCATGAAACTTGGAACATCCTTGTGATGGAGAATATGGTGCCTTTTGTATTCATACTTGGAAAAGTTTTTATGGAAATACTGGTGTCATATGTTTAACATGCTGTTGTCTCCAGCATCTGATTTAAGTTCAAGATGGCCATGGTCAATGTGTTCCATTTCAATGAAGTGTGAGTAGTCAGTTCTTTAAAGGACATTGTTTAACTCCAATGCACATATGAAACAACCACTAATAGTCATATTTGAAACTTTTAATGGTGTCTTACCATAGACTGTTAGAGCTGGATCTGAGGCACAGAGGAAACACAAGGCTGAGCAGCTGATCCTGATTAGGTCATGCTATACCATAACTGTAAGTTATATGGACTGCATTTTTTAAGGAATTACTGATGTAATTTATTGTTTTATTTAATTATTTATTTTTTTAATCTGTCAAAGCTGTTTTTCCTTACATAATCTGTCAAAGCTGTTTTTCCTTACATTATAGTCTTTGTACTGTCATTTTCCCTATAGCACATGTCAGTAATTCTACTAATATGGGCCTCTCATGGAATGAAGCATGAAAAGCCATTACATTCTTCTTAAAAACTTGATATGTTATTTTGTATGAGTGTTTCTAAAGTGTGAATCAGTTCCCGTGTGACACATTCAGTATTTTTAAATTGCTTTTGTGGGTGACTAGACTTGTTTGAATAGCCATGTGCTAAATGCAATTGCTGTCAGGCTTTCTTAAGCATTACATTTCTGAATAATGACATTACAAAAGCTTTTTCTTTACATATGCAAAGCATTGAAATAACTTTCCTTTAAAATACTTTTAAATGCTTTCACATGTTTCTCTTTCTGATACCTCCCTGAAGTTCAGAGCTTTCTGTCTTTTCTCAGACATTTGAAGATTATGTAGAATTGTGAAAAAAAGTCAGCAAAATAATCAGCATTTGCTTGCAGTAGAATTCTCATTGGTCTAAGGGATGTTTTTGTCTAACAGAAAAAAGGCTGTCAGTATAAAAATAATGGAAGGGTAATGGCTGACTCAAAATCATGGATGCCATGAGGTTATTCACCAGCCTCTAAAAGGTCTCATTATGAGGTTCCCAGAAGCACAAACATATATTCATGTGACCATGAATAATTTCCTGTAGTTTCTCATGTGTTTCCAGGAGTGCAGGAGTTCAGCCATAGGCACAGCAGTGCAGGTGCTGTTGTGTGAGTCTTTTGTTCTGAGGTGATTGATTAAATGTGCCAGTGACAGTCATGTATGTGCAAAGCTGTATTGATACAAAGGGATGGTTGAATCAGGTGTAACATATCTCACTCCATATTGGGTTGGTATTCATGGTAAAATGGATAATTTGTTTGTTATCTCTTTGCACATTATACTACATAACTTTTAGGCTGTAGTTTTTGAATGCTTTTTGGCATTTTAATCCTCTTTCTATTAAGAAAACATAGAAAATGTATTTCCCAACTTTAGCTTATTTTTCTTGGTTTTGGTTTATGACAGCAGTCTTTACATCAAAATAAACAGCTCTTAATAATCTGTTGTCATTGCCTGGTCTTCCCATAGATTGAATTTGAAAGCTGTTTATATTTTTTTGAATGATAATTTGTTCAGCTCTAATTCTTGTTGTTCTGTTCTAAATTGCCTTTTCTTTAGAAGTGGCTGTTGGGTAATGAGATGACTCAAAATTAATCTTGTATTCTAGCTGCAGAAATATTGAATTAGAGATGGGCTGTTTACATTAAGTTTTCACAAGCAATGTGGATTTGTCAGTCCCATATGCTTTCAATGTGAAGTTATTATCTTTAGTGTTTGCTAGTTCTGAAAGCTTTTAAATATTTTTCTATACATTCTTGGGGAATAAAAATGTGAAAAGTTTTGTGTAAATATAATTGATACTCCTGAATAGCATAGCTTGTAGAACTTCAATAGATAAGTTATTATTTGAAAACAAATCTATTTTTGTTCAACCTGGTTTTATTTGAGGAATATACTGTTGAATTTAGAAATTACTCTGAAAATTGGAAATTAGAAACATAAAATAAGTCTCATGATAAATAATGTAGCTGTTAGTAAATGCCTTGCCTTATAATGCCATTCATACATTTGTGCAAGAGTCTGTGGGCATTATGGATTGAATTAGTCAGCATTGTATCTTCCAAATAGTCTTACTTCCAGAGTCTTCTGAAATGTTGTTATTGCAATATTACAAGAAACCTGGTAAAACTTCAGTGTCAGATCTTATCTTGGATATTGAATCTTTGCCACAGAAGTCCAATTGTTAAAATTTAACTTTGTTTTTAGTCTGGAAAATTTACAGTTTTCTGCTGGAAATGGACTGGATCATTTTAAAAATCAAAAATTATTTCTGTAGACAATCATTGTCCAATAGCTACTTACTATGCAGTTTCTGGCATAAAGATAAATGCTGAGTATGTAGTTATGAAATGAGCTGTTAAAATAGGAAATGGACTTACAGATATCTACATGTCCTGGAAGAAAATTTCCAAAATGGAAGACCGTTTCATAGAGCCAGCCTTTTCTGTATTTTTCTATTTAATTTTTTCAGTTTGTCTCCAAAAACATGGTTTGATTATGGTTGCCTCTCAGAAACCTTTAAGTGGAAAATGCTTAAAATGTTTTTTTTATATTTAAGAAACAAACTGCAGACTTGGTTGCATTCTTCTAAAGGACAAATTAATACTAATTAAAAGTATTGCTTTAATCCTCTTGGAAAAAAAATATCTAAAAACCTGCTCCTCCATTTTTCACAAAAGTGATTGAATTGTTTTAGGACCAACCTTTCTCCTGTTTAGCTACAAGTGAGAATTTAACAAAATAGGTGCTAGACAGACAAATCAATATGGCCAAAATAAGGGCAAGCTAGTATTGCTGTGATTTTGTTGTTTATGCTATTCTCAGCTTTTGTTCAAAAGGCAATCAAGTCTATGTGTTATATATTGACTTTCTGGATAATAAAATAGAATTATTTTGATAAAAAATACTGGTGAAATTTCAAAATTTTGTTCATGTTACTGACTTGGTTAGTTGGCTGCCTATGTCTGCTGTTGATAAAGTTTGCAGGTAAAGCTGAAATACTGGTAGGGCAATATGTTCACAGCAGGTTTTTTCTCTCTTCCCCAGTGTGATGAGTAGCAGCCATTCAAGGTTCATCTTTGGCACGTCTTTGGCCTGACATTATCAAATGCCTTGTTCTTTCCTTCTGCCTTTGGAAAAAGAGGTGGTGCTAATGGTAGTTCAGTCTTCATACCTTATGTCAAGACTGTGCTTGTGACAAGCTCCACGACTTTGACTAATTCTTAGTAAAAATTCATGTCATTCAGTCTTGCAAGGAGATTTTTCAGTGTGCCTCCCTGCATTTTGACTGCTATGCAGTTTGGTGACATTCAAAATACACCTTGTGTCCATCAAGCTTCTCTTTTCTCAATAAACATAAAAGCCAGAAACTCTTGACAGTTTCTTAAAAATGCTATAATTATTACTTTTGAAATGCTTGGTGCTTCATCACTTATCCCTCTTGTTTTTCTCCTTGACCAAGTAACTCCAAGTTCAGTAAATGCTACTGCATAAAAGATAAAGAAGGACAACAAATAAACCTGAAAGGGAAATAATTGCATGTTGCCATGATAGCCATTCAGTTAAATTGATCTTCAGCACTGAAATGTAGCTGCCAGAGATGTAAGGTAGTATGATTTTTAAAATTTATTTTGTGTTGAAACTGATGTTCCAACCAAACAGAAGGTCAGTCTTTTATAGTAAATGAAAGGGTATAAATACCATATATGAAAAATTAAATTCCTTAAAATTACGTAGAGAATTCCTGTATGAGAGGATAGTGCTGCTTATGGAGTTGTCACATTTATAGACTCATAAAATATTTACTTATCACTGCTTCTTGGAGAGTGTGCTGTGCATAATGTTACATGAGTTGTTCTGTCAGAGGAGTGTGAACTTATGGTCTTGACAGTGTCTTATCAGACAGTCTGCTCCTGTCCAGTGCTAGTCATCTGCATTTCAGCATAAGGAATACATAAATCTTCAAAAAAAATTGAAGGTTTGTTCATGCCTTAACAAGATTTATTTATACTTTTGTGAATGGTTAAATTGATTATTGATAGCAGTCTCACCTATTATCAATCATATTTTTCACTGTAGGGAAAATAATGAGGGGAAATGGTTGTACTTTCTTGGAATAAAAGTGAATTTTATCACTTTGATTTTCTTTTACTCAAGATTTATGCTGTGTTTCTCAAGAGGAACAATTACTTGGACATGATTTTTGAGTTTTCAGAACCCCCAAATACTGTTGAGTTGAGCTTGGATGTCTTCGAACATTTACCTGTTCTAGCAGATAAAGAATTCAGTCTGATAGTATTAAAGCAGTGTGGGACAAAGCATTTTTTCAGGTTGGTGGTCTTTAATGTGGTTGAAGACCATATTACTCTCTGGTAAAATAAGGAGAATATTCAAAAAATCTCCCTCTGCATACTATCTGTCTAGAAAAGGATATAATTTGTAGGGAAAATGGGTGAATATGAAGATATTTAATAGGTAAGTTTGTAGAGGGTAGCATGGCAAATCATGACACATCAAAGCTGCTCTTAGAGGCTGCCTGCTTTCAGCACAATGAGAAAGGATTCAAGATTCTAGAACATATTTTTTACCAAACAAGTGATGGCTCAAAGTACACAGTGTTCTCTCATCTTTCCTTCTTTTATTCTTTCTCAGAAGACTCCATTTTATTAAAACATACCAGTATATCATTTCTCTTTACCTTTCAGTCTGCACAAGGTGGTGGACATCGAACGCTGCTCTACGGGCATGCAATCTTGCTGCGCCATTCTTACAGCGGCATGGTATGTAACCACGTTACACCCCTGTGCTGTATGGTAGCCCTCATGTTACCAACGTGAGTTGGGAGCAGCAGTGATTTGTTTTTTGTGTGAAAGTTATGTTTGAAAGTACCCAGAACATTTCCATTTACTGATATCCAGAGAATTACTCACATCAGAGGCAGTATTCTGTGGTTCCTAGAAACCTTTCTGGAGGGTGGGTGCTTGGAAATACAAAACCAAGCTGGTTGTATCTGGGTAAGTGCCAAAACTAAGTCTGGCTCCCCTAGTGCTGAATCCCCTGTTTGTCAGTCTGAGTTGGTGAATTTTCATTTCTTTCCCCTGTTTTCCATATTGCATAAGGTGTGGCTGAATCTGCAGCTGACACCTTGCTGTCAACCTGAGCATATGTTAGAGACTGAGAGGAAAAGGAGATTCCTTCTTACATGTATTTTGGACAGAAGTCTTAGCTGGAAATTCCCTGATGAATTATACAGGCTTCAGACTCCTTACCTACAAGTGAGGCTTCATGGAGCTGAAATCTGATGCAACTAACTCCTTTATTTCCACTCTTAGTATTCCTGTCTCAGTGAAAAGATAACTTGGGTAGACAGAGAGGTTATTTTAGAACATATATTTTTGTCAAGACTCCATGAGTGCATTTTGTTTTATCATGCATACATGTTCCTGGTAGTAACTAATGCGTATAATCTAAGAATATTTAATCCTGTGTTAGTAGGATGATGACTTTTTATATTATAAGTGAGCAGAACTAGTGATGTATGCTTTTTTCTTTTGGTAGTACCTGTGCTGTCTCTCTACATCTCGATCGTCAATGGATAAGCTGGCATTTGATGTAGGATTGCAAGAGGACACAACAGGTAACCACTAGTTTAAAAGACTAGTGAAGAGCACTGTCAGTCTAAAAATAAAATATTAATAAAATATTAAAGAATATTATTAATACTCTTTAAGAATAATAAACAATAAAAGTAAGAATTGCTTAGTTAGATTGTTTGCTTGTTTCTTAAAGCTTTGCTTTAGATAGGAGTAGTAAGAGTAACAGCTACAACACTTGAACAGTTCAAAGATCTGAGTTCTTTTCTGAATATAACGTAGTTTTGGTTATAGAAGCCCATCTGAAAACAAGAATTATCATGGGAACAGAATTTGTGACTTTAATACTTACACATATTCTGGGAGATTAGAGGTGCTAGTAGTCAATAAAAGAACATCTTTGAATTTGGATTTATGTGATCTTTCAAATATTATAAGTGGTATGTAAATACTTATTTTCATTGCCCTTAGTTATAGGTTGCTATTTTTTGTCCAAATTCTCAGCAGAATATTCTTCAATGTCTTTTCCTGAATCTGTAATGAAGGTGACAGGGAATCACTTTAGCAAAAGTGGCTTGGACCAGGTTGCCTAGAGGGCACAGAGCCATCATCTTATTCAACTTTGGAATCACTGTTCCAGCAGATTTAGTCTTTTGTTTATCTGTGTTATTTAGAGCTGAGTTTCCAACAGGGTGATGCAGGAATGATACTAGTTATAGAAAACACATGGACACTTGGTTTAACCCAGTGAAAACAGGATCAGAACTTTTAAGACTGAAACAAGTGTGACAGTAATGTCAGTAACATTTGGTCTTTCATTCTGTGCTGTTACTCAATACTGATATTAGGTGAGGCTTGCTGGTGGACCATACATCCTGCTTCCAAACAACGATCTGAAGGAGAAAAAGTGCGTGTTGGAGATGATCTGATTTTAGTCAGTGTCTCTTCAGAAAGATATTTGGTAAGTTTTATAAATTATCTGTGCAGTGGTTTTTCTACAGGAAAAAAAGAGTTAATGAAAATCTGGCTTCCATTGCCACCTCCTAAAACTAAAACTTAAGGTGCTTAAACTGTTTTTTAAAATAATATTTTGCAAAACAACACACTGAAAGTCTGGAAAATTGTGACTTTGATATATGGCTAATCTAATTTTGGCTCATTTCAGTAGTGGAATAGGCGTTTTAAAAATTTACTTAGATGAAAATATACAAATACAGAGAAAAGAAATAATTTCCAAATTACATTATTAAGATGTTTAGAATCCATAAGAGTGTTCATAGGTTAACAACACTACCATATATATTAAAACTTTGTAGCAAATTTTGGGATGTTTAACGAAAGTACATAGGATTTGTGTGCTGAAAAGGTCCATATTTTATTGAGATTATGTACAGTGTAATATATAGAGCGGATTTGTGTGCTGAAAAGGTCCATATTTTATTGAGATTATGTACAGTGTAATATATAGAGCTATTGACATGTCATAATTAAATATAATTAAAATAATGATTAAATTGAAATATTTTACAAGTTACTGTGCTAGCTGTTTCTTATCACTGGTTTACACAACATTCTTCTTCATGAAAGGATCTTCCATTTGTTCTGTAAAGAAGCAGGTCAGCACATTCACTATTCCCTTTTTTTTTTGAGAGTTCAGCACATTCACTATTCCCTTTTTTTTTTGAGTTTTTTTTTTATTTTTTAAATATTTAAGAAAAAAGTGAATAGTTTAATAAGACATCAATTATAAAATTGAAAATATTCTCCCTTCTATTGGAAACACATAGGGAAATGATAATATAATTGTTAGAATATTAATTGTAACTTCTGGTTACAAACTCAAAAGCTCATTTAATGAGTTTTTTGTAATTTGATATTCTGAAAACTTTCTGATCATCTTTGCATTTTAAAATTATTTAAAATAATTAATTTGATGAGAATTGTAACTATACATAGTGAAAAAACAACTTGTTGTGGACTGAATTTTTGAAAAATCTGATTAATGGTCCCTAATAGAGACACTGGATTTCTTTGAATTGCTGAATTGAGTTGCTGAAGTTAAATTTTGGTACAGATTGTGTCTCTGTGTAGGCACGTCCTGGCCTCTAATTAGTAATAATCAGCTCAGCCTATTATTTAGTGTTTGTGCCTCAGCTATTGATTCTCTAGGCTGTCACATGTACTTTTATACAGCAAGAGGCACAATTCTGTCTGCAGAGACTGATTCTCCTTAAGATGTGATGTTAATGCATGCATAATGTTCCATGTAAAATATCAATATACTAAAAATAAATAATATTTTCAGTGCAGAGAGAAATAACACTGTATTACAGTCCTTAAGTATTTTTGAGCTAGATTGTAAGGAGTAGTTAAGCCTACTTCAGTTATATTGTAGTTTAGCTACCTATTCAGTAATTATATTAGCACTGTCAATAAAGCAATAAAGCTTTTATGAAAATTGAAACAGTTGATAAAGAGTAATCAGTGATTTACCAATAAGTGATTTTTTTCATGAAAGCTGTTTTTCTGTCTTAAACTTTGTTTGTCTTAATCCATTTGACTGTTTACAAAAATAACTTCAAAGGATTTAAATTTCAAAATATTCACAATTCATTGTTAACATGTTGAGTGGAGTGTCATGTTGCAGCTGCTATTTTGTACAACTCTTAAAAGAATGTAGTGACTGATAACCTTTACAATAGCTAGAACTGTGGAGAGATTAAGTTATTTTTGTGAATCTGCCCTGATACTGAGACCAAATAAGCTCTGTTGAATCCAGTTGAGGAATGCTTTTTCTAAGGGAGTGAAATTCCTCATATAGATTCCTTGACAGAAAAGAATGCTTGTCAGTTTGCTGAGGGCTGGGTTTATGTATATTGCATGCTCTAAAATTAAAATCTTAGGAAAATGTAATTTCTCCATCAAATGTTTTATGTAAGTATGCTGTTGGGAATAGGACTGGGATGTCACCTTTGTACATTGCAGTATCGCTCTATGTTTTCAAGCAATTTGCTAATTCTTTCTGAATGAAGAAAAATAGGTTAACCATCCTGGGGCAAAGATGTGCGTGTAAAAATAACAGATGAATAGAGTTCATTCATAGGGCATGGCTTTTTCAAAATGTAGTCAGCTCTTAGTTGAATTTGTATAATGCAAGAGGAGAGAAGAGCTATGTCAGTTTCTTAAGCTGGTCTTCCAGTTGTCTGGCTTTAGCTTAATTAATTTAACATTGACTTTGACACTATGGTCTCAGTGTAATCAGTAGATTTTTGTTTAGACCTCATTTGGATGGCAACACTGTTACGTATTAGCAAAATATCAGGACTTTGCTGTAGTACCCCTTTTCTTCTTTCCACAAAATAAAATATTTTGGCACAATTGGCTCTATTTTTTCCCCCCAAAAATACTTTTTACTTACACCAAACAAGTACTAAACTGTACTAGGAAGGTCAGTGTTAAAATCATAAGCTAAAGGTCCAGAGAGGTGGCTTTTAACTTTGGGTTCACTGCAATGTCCCAGGGCAAGTCATTCACTTGCTCTGACTCTCATTATCTACCTAGACAATAGGATTTTGGATACTTTTTGTCCTGTGTAACATTTCTGAAGAAAAGCTCTTACGTAAGTGCTCGTGGCATTATATAATGTGGGAGCTGCACTATTGCCAAATACTTCAGAGAAGGAACTGGGCTCTACTGAATCCAGTTACCAGAGAGCAAAAAGATGTTCTGCTATAAATATTGCCACCATTTAAGTTCAAGCCAGAGTTGCTGTGTTTCCTTTCTTGAGGCAGTATAGCCTGATAAAGAACAGATGTAATACTTCCAGCATGTTTCCCCAGCTTGTACATAGTAGTATCTACCTCAGCACTGAGGTTTGCCTATGCCTCCTGTTAACTACATATCCTGATTGCTTTCAATAGTGCTAATTTTCAGTAACTTCAAAGTTCAGTTAATTGAATTTTCTTTCACATTCTTGAAGTCTCTAAATAGCTTTTAAACATAATTCAAGAAAAAATCCGTAGACATGAAATTGAAATACAAAATGCATAAATGAAGAAAAAACTGAAAATTGTTATCCACCAGGTCAGTGTTATTCTGACTGAGAAGTCAGGAAAAAGGGAAACCCCCTGAGCTTTGAATCTACACTGCACACATTTCAGTACAATACAACAGCTGTATATACCCTGTCGTTTATATTTAGGTACTGAGTTACTGTCTCAGTGACTGCATTGCTGACCTGCAGCTGAACAAGCCTTAACATTTGATTGAGATGACCTTTTTTATTTTTTATTTTTTTTTGCTACTGAAAACTAACAAGAAACTAATTTGGAACTGATAGCAGAGTTCCCTTTCAGAAATAATAGCATCCAAATAAGATTTAACTATTTTAAATGTGGAACTGATACATGCCATTACTCCTGGAAAGGAGGACAGATTCCTCAGTATTGCAAAGGCACTGCCTCTGTATCCTTTTGCATCAAATACATAGTTTATTTTCAGCTCCTAATTTTATTTCTCATTATTATATGCTTAGATCAGCCTCTAAATATCTGTATCACTTCTTGTTTCAGTAATATCAGGGGACACAGTAGTGTGTGAGGGTTTGTTTTGTTTTTTTTTGAAATGTAAAGAAAAATTTTTCTTTCACATTTTCTCTAAAAGTATGAAACTCAGTGTTGGACTTTACTTTCTTCTGTGTAAATTCACAATTCCATAATTTCTCTTTGCTGAAAAATTATACAAAAGGTTTTTGTAAAAAATAATTTTAATCTGCATAAGCAAAACTGAAATTAGTGGAAGCAAGGTAGTGTTGAGCTGCTCTGTTACACTGATCATAATGCAGTTCCCATGGAGTCTTTATACAATGATTTCAAATGTTATTGTGGAGGCTGGTAGGACTTTACAATAATTAAGGTTGTCAAGCTGTTCTGCCTTATGGAGTCCTGCTTCCAAGTGCTTATAATAAAGGGGTTGTGATGTAAAAAATCACTTACTGGAATTACTAACATCTATTTCTGTGGGGTTTTTTCCCCTTTTCCTTTCTGTTTGTTTGTTTTTTTTAGTCTGAGATAATTTTTTTTATTTCATCAAGAAAAAATCAGATGTTATTTAGCTCAAAGAAAGGAAAGAAAAAAAAAGCCATATAATTAACAAAAAATGATGTAATTTTCTTTCGTACTTCTTGGTAACTTATTAAAAAAAAAAACCCAAAACCAACCAACCAACCAAAAAAATACTAAACCAACCCAAAAAACCCAAGAAAATTAATAAAAAGGCAACAAGCCTCTCCCTGGTTCAAGTTAGTAAAGAAACATCCCCCTGAGACAATGGAGCTTGATCATGACCAGGGAAAAGTGTTTAAATTTCCTTTGAGTAGGTAAAAGTCTGATGGCTTTGTCTATTTTACATAAGCTAGCACCTCCTGTGTGTTAATGAACTGTTTAAACTCCCTCTACAGTGAATAATTAAATACATGCCAACCTTGGTGGGAGCAGATATTCCTTGAAATGGATTGCTCAAGGCAGGAATGAAACCAGGCACTGTATTGACAGCTGAGAGCTCAGTGTTGTGTGTGCTGCTGCTGATCTCCTGTCATTTAAGATATGTGGAGGAAGAAGCTGTGACAAAGTAGAAGGAACAAAAGGCAGGTGATGTATCAGTGACAGGAGTGGGACTGAATTGGGAAGGAGAGAAACTGAGTGGGACTTGATGAGCGGCTGAAAAGATTGTCAACTGAAGGCAGGCAGGCAGGGACTAACAAATTGTCTGGGACAAGAAGCTGGTGACAAGGGAAGAGTAGGCACCCACTGGTTAAAGTTGTGTTCAAAAGTCAGGACAGAAAAACTGCATGGTTTTGGCAGGGAGAATTGAGAGAAGAACCAGCAGAATGAGACTGGAAATGAAGGATGACAAGAGAGATCTGTAGAGGACAGAGATTTCTGGGGAGAAACAAACTGCTGG